CGGCCTCAAATCCGTGGACTACGAAATGCGTCTCGCGATGCTTGATCTCTTTCCCCTGGAGTACCGTCGCCTCAGAGGGGACCTAATTCCTACTTATGCCCTGTTTGAACAAGGCTTGGCAAACAGGTTTTCCACCGTTGACCAAGCAGACACACGGCGGGGACATAGTAAGAAAATTTCCAAGCTCAGAGCACACATTCATTAGGCAAATGTTCTCTCATTTGTGTTGGTAGCTGCGTGGAATGACCTTCCTGCGACGGTTGTCCACGCTCCTTCTAGAACCCAGCTCAAAGCACTACTAGACATTTATTTATGCGAATCCTCGCGCTGGCCAGCATACTATTCCACGCTGAGAACATAAAGAGCAGTGCTACATCCTTTTTTACTTGTGCCTTTCAGGTGAACGACAGCCGCTGAACGACAAGAACAAGACCGACCCGGGAAACTTGGGCAAAAAGCCTCGATCCTGTGTATCAATCCGTGAATCCGTGAAATGTAAGCTTCGAATGTCAAAGTCCTGCATGTGCAGGTCCTATGATCCCTGTTTGTTAATGGACGGCCCCCTACCACAACAAGCTTCATTCATCAATCCCTCCGCCAAGGCACTTTCGGGAATAATTACCGAATCCGCAGAAAATGTGAGACCAATGAAATCTAATTAGTGTCGCTCACCAGGAGCACATCCACACGCTTGCCGCCACAAATAAAGTGTTTTCAAAGTTGGGGCTACAGGACATGGTCTAATCCATTCGATGATATGCTGTTCATACGATTTCGTTTATGTGGGCTAGATTTTAAGGTCACGGACCATCACCAATTTGCATTTTTATTGGTCTACGAGAGACTAATCAAGAACTCACACTTAAGAACATTTTGGCGTTCTTCTTTGTCCTTCAGGAATGAAATAAGATTTACAGAACATCAGATTCAAATCCCTCTCAGGAAAACTGATGATTGACGTTTGTTCGCTTTATACCGCTCAGGTTCAAAACATGAGATTATTTGTTCTGTGAACTTCGTCGTAACACATTTTCCTATGGGTTTCAGCCCCCATCATTTAGACGTGGGCAAACAACAGCATGAATTTCTCAGCGGGGACGCAAATGCCATCCTAGGGAGAATTTCCCTTCCCAGATGCGCACAACTGGCCTGTGGATAACACAGTGTCACCATAGAACTACAGGCAAATTGCCAAAAAGTGATACCATTCCTATTAAGAATATGATGATGCTCAATCATCATGTCATCAAGCGCAAACGTAATGATGGCATTTAAGGGCATCCACTACAGCTCACCCATCTGAACTCCTTTACGTAACTGCTCGTGTGTATATCCGATGGTAAATATGAGTCCTCGTTTACGCACGGTAACCTTATCTAATGACGGACGACGGCCCATCACAAACTTAACTGCATTGGATGTCGCCTAACTTAGCTGCTTATAGTGGCTAACGGGCCTGTACTATGCTATGAGTTGACCATAATCCAACAATGAACAGTGATCCTTCATACCTATACATATTGTGCTTCTGCCACGTCCATGCCTGAAAAATGTATAACCACTCTTGGCTAATCATGTGTCCATTTATTGGTTGCATCTGTACATGCGAAATTCACAGTCAGTCTAGTGCTCAATCTCAAGAAACCTATTGCACTCTATAGGGTTTCTAAAAGGAACAATGTATAATCAATTACGACTCGCACATACCTCCGAAAACAAATAAGTGAACCGAGTTGTAATGGCTAACTCACCAAGTGCATAATAAATCCCTTTGTCCACAATTCCCGATCGATTGATACATTTTAGCTTGTTTTTAGCTGTTATAAAGCCAAACTCAGTACTTGCTCCATTAGTCCAATTGGCAATAATGAGAAGCCGTTTGTAGTTCGATAATTCGATAGCGAGATTCGGCGAACATATGCATTATTGGACGCAGTAAAGTTGAAGGTAAAAAGATATACGTCTCAGTGAGTCGTGGGGCCAACTGATAGATACTTAAGCAGCCGACCTCAAAAATGCACACATGGATATGGCCATATCCAAGATCTAGTGAGTGGATGGGCACCTGTTGTCGATTCTGCCCATTTAGAACACTAAAGCTCAACATCAATTCATGGTGGAGGAAATAGGGCGGTACAGGCAACCAATGAAACTCAAGGACGTCAGACCACAACGCAATGCGAATGAACGTCAGAGAAAGCAGCTTACTCGCTGGGATAACCAATCTACACAAAGGAACACAAAACACAACGCACGAAATATCATAAACTGACCAATAGATTCACTGAAGTCGTCAAGCCTTACAAATAAAAACACGTTAGTAGATAACAGATAACCTTCGAATGCTATATAAACACACGCAGGCTAGGAAGAAGTACTCACACAACTGAGCACTGATAATGTCCCCTCGTATGGTGACGCAACGTTTACGAGCCAATTGCTAAGCTTGGCGAACGGATCAACAGCCACCTGATCAACAACCAATCTATTCGCAATTGTTTCGCGATACCGATACCATATGCTTAACAGGGCCAACAGCTCTGTCCTCCTTATCAAAAACTGTAATCGTCCCATACTCGACTGCATTAGCAGTCCCGTCAACTAGGGTCTTTTCTGGGAAACCATCCAGTTGGTTAGTTTCAGCACCGCATTATATATGAGTATAATCACATATCTTTAAGCTTGGCGGACGGATCAACAGCCACCTGATCAACAACCAATCTATTCGCAATTGTTTCGCGATACCGATACCATATGCTTAACAGGGCCAACAGCTCTGTCCTCCTTATCAAAAACTGTAATCGTCCCATACTCGACTGCATTAGCAGTCCCGTCAACTAGGGTCTTTTCTGGGAAACCATCCAGTTGGTTAGTTTCAGCCACCGCATTAATATGAGTATAATCACATATCTTAGGCACACGTCTTGGAGCTATTCGCTATTTCGGGCCATTCTGAGCAGCTGTTTCATGTTTGAAATATAAGTTTTGGCCTCATCCAACCCTTCGTTTATGTGAAATTATTCCAACCCATATTTACTTTCGAACTCATGTTCACAATATCCAAATAGATGAGACAGTTAGACAGTTACACTCGATGCAGTCTTTCCGTCTCAGATAAAGAAGAGGACCCCTTTGTCGACTGAAAGGTTAAGCATACCCTATTACCCAAGAGTACACATCCTTCAAACAACATCCACGTAACATGCAATACACAAGACCACTACTTCCGCTTTTGTTCGCTAAGTGGTCTGTTAACCATGGCGCCCCATAATCCACCCCCTCAAAATGCCTTGGATGGGTATCCGCATGTTCTATCTGATTGGCTTTTTCGGCCTGACGAATACAACCTCTGATGCCGGACACATTCTTCAATGGAAAACTTTATTGCATAAACGAAAAATCGCTTTCCGATTCCCCCGTTACAGATTCTTCGGCTACGACCCACACGATCTCAGGCAATCCTTGCCAAACACCTAAGAAGTCTTAATACCACTGCTCGAACTGACCCAGTCTCGGTCATGCAACAGCCCGGACAGTAGTCTGATAAGAACGATCCTTAATAACTCATGATATACCGCGTTGAAGCCAGAGGTGTTTTGGATCAACAAACTCAGTTCGAGTTTGGCAGATCGGTGCACAGGCCTTATATGCCACACTGCAACCAGAACTAACACGATTTTGAATGTACATACAAACTCCCCAAATCCTTATTTCGTTCCTAGCCTGCAAGCGGCGTCTGCAGCGACCGCGTGTCCAAGGGAACGAACTCACATATTATGGTTGCAAACTGCACACCAAAGAACTGGATAATTAGTCGTTTCACCCAAAATCCCCTGTGCCTGTTTTCCTTTTCCAGCATCAGAACTATTTGGTCTCGTCTAGATCAGTAAGCCATTTGTTGAAAGGCATATGAAAACAGGGGTTCAGAAGAAAGTTCAGCGATCGTCTCACTATTTCATCGATCACGAAATTTAATTGGAATTGATATGGGGTACCCTTGACGGACACTGCTTTGTGGACGGAAGCTTTTCAATCTCTCCATATCTTTCCGTACCTTATCCCTTCATGCCGCACTTCCTGTCCACGACGATGCAAAGACTCCACATTAAACACCCCCAATTTAACAGCAAGCCCTCTCGTCAAAGACATTTGTACCATATATTAAATCTCATAATACACCTTCTGCAATGGAAGAAGGAAAAGCTAAAATGGAAGTAACTTTTGTTGGACGCCTGTGCTTTTGTCTTGGGCTTTCCCTGGTTGCAGTGTGTATTCAGAATAATCCTGATTTGAGTTCAAAAATTAATTGGTAGCAGAGCAAAAGTGCTAACGGAGACTCATTGAATTTATGCGATAAGAAACCTCAAAGTAAACTCGTTTTGCGAAGCGCCCAAGCTTTTCTTTAGGATGTGAGGGTGCCATCCTGAGGTCACCTCATCATACAGACGCTCAACATCACCAGCCAACTCATGGTTTTCTTATCTGATGTCCCTGTAAGCTCTGAGCAACCTCACGTGCTCACGATCTAACCAATGTATGACCCTAACAATCACTTAGCCCACACCAGTTCACACCGACCGCAGACCTATTATCTGTACCTATATCGGCTTCATTCTGGCGTGTTTCACTCCCATTGGCCCTTATGCATCTGATTTCCTAACCCTGCTTATACCAGCTTTAACTAGATCCCTTGTACTTTAATATCGTATGATGGCACAGCACTGCCACACCCAGTTTCCTGTCCCACCCGCAACTATTTCCTTCTCCCACTCGACTCCACCCTGTCGTCCACTTGTCCCGGTAACTGCAAATACGAGCAAGCTCTCCACATGACCCCAGCTGCCTCCATGACATTTTCATTCAAATCTGATGAATTTTCGTTCGAATTTAACCACTCCTCTTGTGCTGCAATCATCTCACTCGTCCGAGAAACTATTATGCCATGCTACTCAACAGCGGCACCGATGAGTCTCTGCAGCTTCTCTGTACACCATATTTCTGTGATTCCGGTTACACCCTATCCGGTTTTCTAATCCCCTAACCTCATCATCCCCACTTGCTCTTTTCGTGACCATGGTCATGAACCCAACAGTCCAGGATGCCCCAGAGGTGGCTTTAGGTTTTAGTCAGATTTGACCAGCTGAATGACGCTAACTCTGCTGTTCCACCAGGTCTGAAAATCTGGTTCCACGTTTTTCACCGTTCATACTATTCTTGTCATGTGAGGGGCAGGAAGCTTCTTGTCTTGCCCCATGGCTTTGTCTTGCCAAAATAATAACGATCCGATCTTGCTCGATTTTCTCTCCGAAAGCGCAAAGTAACCAGCCCCTACTGGTTCTGTGCTGACCACCCGCCATGGTGCTGTCCCTTTTCCCAAACCAATCTTGTGCTCAAAATTCTCGCCAGTCGCGACCACATTCTGACTGATCATGCCCAATATATTACCACCTACAAGCTTGGAATAAACATATTTATTAAATTATAATTCAATCGAACAATGCCGTCTCACTGAAATAGTCAGCAATCGTTGTCTCTTCCGGCTGCCACTATTTCGCACCAAGGTCTATCCCATACGGTAGCGCTTTCTAGTTGACCTTTTTGACAATTTTCCCCCTTTTGAGCCCCAACTTTGGGCACGGCCATATTACTGCCCCGTTTGAGCGGCACCAACAAACCACCGTGCGGCCTCGATTGACACCAGACTATTTTTGGCACATGGCCACTTTTATTTGTCACGATTCCTTGGAAAATTTCGATTGCAATGACAACCACAAATGACTCATCCATTGTGGTCATGTGGGAGGATGTCTACAAACATAGGTGCACCGTCGAGATAACGGTACCACGAACACAACAGCCAGTCCGATGGCTTGCGCACAGTTCACCGCAGTCCCAATATTTCCCGAACGATCATGGTTTGTTTGCCAAATAGGCCATACCAATCTGTTTCCTTTTGAAAGGGTACGAAAGCACTAATGTAGTGGTCTGGCTACACAATAAGCTAGTTTACCAGGAGTGTGTGGCAAAGAAATAAATATAATAACGCTAGGTTGGCTATACAAAAATAAAGAGGCCAGATCAATAATATTTGTTCTCTTTAAAATATTGCCTCTTCGGCCCAGATCAGCGAATAAACAATAATCCAATTATGTTGGTCCAGAGGTCTTCTTCTTAACAGTTACCACATATAATAGATTCCGAAGATGGTCTGAAATGTTTTGGTACCAGAGTTAGTACATGAGGCTCGCGAATGACCGCTACAAGCACGAGCGAAATCAGAAGAGAGAGTCGAAGCACGTGACCACCCCTGTATTATGTGAAATTGTACAAGTGCGCGTTTTTGCAGTTTTTCGTATTCAAACAAAAAAACGCCTATGCAATTGATGAAATACGTAGTGTTATAATGGAAGCACAATATAGGTACAAAACGCCACACTGGCAACCCCTTTTTTCGTCTGCTTGTTTTGTCTATAAACCCACTACTTCGTTTAAGGGCAATGTGAATGGGTCGGTATAACGGTAAAGATTGAACCATCAAATGTGGCCATGAAACGTGTACCGACAATCATTGAAAAAAGGAATTATCCATAACGAGTTTCTTTACTTCGTTTTGCGGAAGGCCTGCGGCAACAATAGAAGACTATTTCCTATACAATCTAGGATGAATGCGCCATTTTGAGTTTTCCTGGGCACATAGAACGTAATTATTGGTCATGTAGTTTTGAGATCATTTCGCAACCAATGCAGAAAAAAGCACTTAGACAACCAGCTTTTCCAGAAATTTACTCACCGTCATCACGGAGACTGACAGCCATTGATGCATGAATTCCGTACACATGGTGGAATTCGAGTAGCTTTAGACAGTTCTCAACAAAAATGCGGTCACAATTGAAGGTATAAAGGGCTCGAGTGGACATCATCAGATACTGCACTTCATGTTATTGACTTCATCCTCAAAACTACGGTCGGCCTGTTCGTTGGACAGACTGCAACCACTTCATATTGTGCGGGTTCGAACTGACCGTATCCGACTGCGAGAGAAGTGGATAATTATCTAAAAAGCCGGGAAAATGGCCACTCTAGTGTTAAAGAGGGCTTCATATTGTGCGTAGAACAATCGCAGTTCCCGTTGCTTTGTGTATGCCACTAAATTTCCATAAGGTGAACTTCTGAAACGCGAAATTTCAAGTTCGTCGGGCGCGTGCATTCAAATCCACGATTTTTCATACGAACCTGGATGAAGCATGGGTTAGTTCATCTTTCAATATAGTCTTAATGGACTAATATTTATAGGCAAGATATTTTGCGAAAGGTGTAAACGGAAGTGTTGTGGTGATGTTCTGCGTGTTTCGAATAAATACTTCCACAAGGGGTGTTTTAGTTGCTCTAGTGAGTATACATTACCATATTTATTCTTCCGCAGAATGCAAAAGCAGTCTCGAAACCGGTGGATTCTACATGAAGGATGACGAATTTTATTGCCAAAAGGATTATCATCGTTATTTTGTTGCCAAGTGTAAGGCTTGTGCGAAGGATCTCATTGGGGAACTAGTTACCGTCCTGGACTTTTCATTTCATCGAGAGTGTTTCAAATGCACAAGTTGTTCGTAAGTTTCATCCCCGGATTTCCTGAGGGATCATTTTGCAGTACAAGATTACGTGATACACCCATAATCGTTTGTGATAGTCCTGTGGGTGACCTTTGTAACGTCCCAGTCACCCACACACTTGACTGTTCAGCCCACAGTCACTCACTGGATCGCGAGACTTGTCTCGTTTTCATACCCGCAATCACATCACATTAAGGTGACTCATCCGACGTCCATTGTCTGCACCGTCTAGTGAGCGTACCAACCACCCACGTGCTGACGCGCCCAGGGCAACCGAACACAGTCTGGCCCGCGCGCAGAGAGCAAGGCGTCAGCTAAACACTCCAAGTCCACGGACAACTATGGAATACGTGTAGCAGTCGTACTGCGGAGAAAACACATTTCCGCCGTCTGGACTTTCACCAAGGGACTGTCGCATACGATAAGTTCCCTCTTTTGACTCGCTCCCATTTCGCAGTGTATTTATTTTTATACGTATTGCAACCCCCCAGTGTCAATCCTACTAAAAAGTTTTATTAGTGCATGTAACCTGAGTTGTGTTATGGCTATCAACGAATTTGCACTAATAATTGGTGTGCCCGAACGTGTTTTCTCCGCAGTACGACTGCTACACGTATTCCATAGTTGTCCGTGGACTTGGAGTGTTTAGCTGACTCCTTGCTCTCTGCGCGTTCGCCCTATATGTGGGTCCGTTTGCGTATACGTGGGCGCGTCAGCACGTGAGTGGTTGGTACGCTCACTAGACGGTGCAGACAATCGACGTCTGATGAGCCACCTTAATGTGACGTGATTGTGGGCATGGAAAAGAGATTATTCTCGTGATCCAGTGAGCGACTGTGGGCTGAACAGTCAAGTTTGTGGGTGACTGGGTCGCTACACCTTAAATGAGAGGTCTGTGGAGTGTTCGAATGAACAAATCTTTTCTATGTCCGTACGGTCGATTCGCCTGAAAAACCTCATCCCGCCCTATCTTTTGTGCGCAGAAACCATATTTTTATTCAAAATTGTAGAGTGTGTCCAAATGACTGCATTTGACCCGGTTAATTGATTACAGAATGTTGAGTACGGGGGGGATGAGAGCTCCTCAAGATGTTCTACCCATATCAACACCGAGTAACAGGTGACCTGCTTACCCTCCTAACAAGATGAGGAGGATTTGAACCTGGTCTACCAGCCAGTTTGCCGCAGTACAAAACGGTTAACGTAGATGGCAATGTTTCACACACAAGCGCAAACATTTTCACCTGCGCATCCAGCATGCGCCGGTAAAGTAGCGATAAGTTGCTCGTCTTGCCTATCAGATACCTAGAGTACAGACCGGAGTGCCCGCATTATAGAGTAGGGTCAAAAATATGCACTGTACAACAAGAGCGAGACAAATTGAGTGATTCCCCCCTTTTTTGTGAACCCACTGTAATAATTATGCCACGGGGGCGAGATGGCCCAAGTGGTTACCAGACCGGAGCGCATTATAGAGTAGGGTCAAAAATATGCACTGTACAACAAGAGCGAGACAAATTGAGTGATTCCCCCCTTTTTTGTGAATGAACCCTAATAATTATGCCACGGGGGCGAGATGGCCCAAGTGGTTACAGCGTTAATTCACTGACCGGAAGTTCCGTGGTTCGAACTCGACTTCCGCCACTCGACTTCCCCTGTCTAGGCTTGAGCAACCTGGCGGTATCCCAGCCCTCGTGCTTCCTTCGGGTGGC